ATAATCAAATAATTTTTATAGAATTAATATTGAAGCTTTAGCTAATTAAAAAATAACTTAACATTTGAGGATTCAATAAAGAAATTTGTAACTTTTGTAATATAAATAGGTATATTATTATTTTCTTAAAGGAAAAATTTGAACTTTTCATATGAAATTTAATTATAAAAATCATATAATTAACTAAAATTATTTTAGTTATATAATCAAGTAAAAAAACTAAAAAATCTATACTGATTTAAGAAAACTATCTCTAAAATATATAATTAAAGCTCTTTTGAATTATAGTTACAATGCAATTTTTATAAAATTTTTTAAAAGGTTTATATTATATCTACTTAAAACTTGAAGTTCTAAATTGTATAAGTAAACTTATCTGACTATACTAATTATCTACAATTTAATTTTCATAAATACAAGTCTAAAGTAATTTTTTTTTATTTTTTTCAGAAATTAATAGACTAAAATTAAAAATATATAAATGAAAATTTTATCTGATTAATTTATTATAGACAATTTATTTGAAAATATATTTATTTATTTTATTTATAATATTTAAACATATTTAAAAGAAGTTTGATAATAAATTTTTTATTTCTAATATTAAATACTTAAGATGTTTATATTTAGTCTTATTAAGAATTTATAATTAATTTATTTATTTTTTTAATTTAATAAATTTAAACTTTATTATTTTATAGATTAAAAAATACAATAATATTAGTTATAATGTTTATAAACCTATTTAACTTCCTTTATATATATTTAAAAATATAGATTTTTTACTAGATCCTATTTTGATTAGTTAACTGTTAAGTTAGTTTTACCTGATTTAACCTAACCTAATCTAAAAAGAAAATTTTTTGTTATTTATTCATTAAATAATATTAAAAAATATTTATATAAATAAAATTAAAATTAAAAAATTAAAAGATTGATTAGAAGAAAAAGAAAAAATAAAAAAAATAAAATAAAAAAATAATTAAAAAAAATTAAAAATTAAAAAAAATATACAATTGAAAAAAAATATTAAAAATAAAAAAAAAATTAAAAAAACTAAAAAAATCACTTTTTTTTGAGTATTATAAATTACTAATTTAAGAAAAAAACTTTTTTGAGACTCTAATGACTGTTTGAAAATTAAACCAAATTAGATTAAATAATTTTATTTCTTAACTATAATATAATTTTATTAATTTTATCAGATTAGGTTAGGTTAAGAAAACAGATTAATCTAATTTGATTTAAAGCTCTAATAATATTATTATTTAAATATTATTAATATAAAAATTGTTAACATCATTTTTTATAAGCATATATTCATTTTATAAAATTTAAAATTTAATTGTAAAGAATAAATTAATTTTATATTTAATTATCAAATAAGTGTTTAAATAATAATAATGCAAATAATCACAAGAATGTGATCAGTAAAGTTACTATTATTTTTAATTTATTTAATGCAAAGATTTTATAATAATAGGATAAAAACTCATATATATTAATAAAGTATCTGTAAATTTAGTTTTACTAAGTATATTTTAATGATTTTCAATTTTTATAATTTATAAGTATTAATATTAAAAGTATACTTTAGTGTAAATTGATAAATTATTAATTAAAATATATTTTGACAGACGTAATTATTTTATTAATAATTTATAATAAATGGAAAGTAAGCTATTTAAATCATATTATAGATTATAAGATTTACTATATTTATCATTTAATTTTAATAGCAAATCTTTTAAATATCAAATTAATATAATTAATTTTGACATCATCAAAATTAATTAGCATTAAAATATAGTTAAAAAATCACTATTATTATTATAAATAAAAATTAAATTAAATGTATCAGAAGATTATTATCTTTTTTTTATATATTGAAATTGAATATCTTTAAATTTTAAGGTAAAAGATGTTTTTATTATTAAAATTAAATTTTTATAATATAAATATTTGCACTTTTTAATAAATTATAAATCTGTTAAAAATATCTATTAAGTGTATATTTATTATATAAAATTTTTGATTATAAATAAATCTTATATCAAATTTAAAAATAAAGATGATTTAATTTAAATATAAAAATAATATATATATTTTTTAAAGTTTAAATATTTTAACAAGTGAATTTTATTAAAAATTCTTTAAAATCCAGTGATTTATTTATTATAAAACTTAAATTTATCTACTGAAATATAAAAATACTTAATGTTATTTTATAATTTATTAAATAATATAATGATATTATAAAATAAACTATATTTTTCTCTATATTTATCATCAACAAATTTGATAATACTATAGTAAAAATGTTTTTTTTTACATATTAATGTATAATATTAGAAGTAATTTTGAGTTTATAAATAAAAGAATTATTATTTTATAAAATAGAAATTTATTCACTAATAAATTGAAAAAAATTTTAGATGAAGTTTAACACTTTATTTGTAATATTTAATAAAAATTTTCTATTATTAAATTTAAATAAAGATGTTTATATTTCTATTATAAAATTTTTAATTAATATTAATAAAATTAGATATTAAAAAAATAGTTTAATAAGAAAGTCTAGTTTATTTATTTATTATTATTAAGCATGATATTATCTATAATAGGTGTGAAAATATGATTTTTTAATTAGATAATATTATATAAAATTTTTTTTTAAATTATATCCAAAATTATATTTGTATAAATAATGTTAATTCTTCTATTTTTAGGATATGTATTAATATATAAATTATTATTAATTATATTAGATTATATTTTTAAAGAGTTATATGATAAATGATAACAGATACAATTAACCCTCTCTAAATGCATACACTATATATTTTCTCTCTAAATACACACTCTCATTCAGTTTTAAGTATATAGAATTCATATAGAAAATTTTTCTTTAAATGCATACCCTCTTTAAATGCACATTTTTTAAAATCTTCACTATGTTCCTGAGGGGATGCATTTAGAAAGGGTTGACTGTATATAAGATTATTAATTATTAATTATCATGTTTATTTGTTGATTTTTATTACTTTTGAAAAAACAAATAAAGAAAAGCTTAAGTGAAAAAAAAATGTATTATAATTTTATTTTACAATATTTTTAGAAAGGTTTATATAATCTTTTTTTTAATATATTCATATTATTTAAAATCTTTTACAAAAAAATATTTAAAATTTAAGTATAATAATGATTATGATATTTAACAGAAGGAGATTTTTTTCTATTATATTAATATATTTTGCATTAATTTTCTATTATTAAGTAAAATAAAAATTTTTTATTTTCTTAATGGTTTTAGCTTTTTAATAATATTATTTATTAGCTCTTTGATTTTTTAATCTTTTGTTTGAAGGGTTAACAGATAATTCAGTTATATTAATGTCTTTGTTATTATTACTATTTAAAGGTAAATATAATAATCTAAATTTATTTATAATTTTTTCGCAAAGTTTAATTAAATTTTTAAAATTTTTCAGAATTGTTGCAAAAAATGGGTCTTACAAAGAGCAAAGAGATGCAATTTTTATATGTCAAAAACTTTTTATTATGCAAGAAAAAACTGCAAAAATTGCTAAGTGTTAGGCAACAGTTTCTTGAGTTTTAAAAAAATAATTAATAAACAATCAGGTTAATCCCCAAATAATGACTGCGAAAAAGCTGTTCTTAATAATAAAGATTCTAGGCATCATAATTTAAAAGAAGTTATTAGCTTTTTTTCAAATAAATAAAGGTAAGAAAGTATCTGAGCGAACCATTCAAAAAGCATGAAGGATAAAAGGTATTCAATTATATATGTCTTGTCTAAAACTATTGATTTCTTTTACAATAAAGTCAAAAAAACTTGCTTTTGCAGAATAGCATAAAAATTGGACAATGACTGATTAAAGAAAAGTAGTTTGGTCAGATGAATCTACCTTTTCTCAGTTTCAAACTTCAGGTTGGGATTTGAGTTTGGCGAAATCTGATGAAGAATTTAATGAAGATTATATTGCCTTGACCGTATAACACAGTCCCAAATGAATGCTTTGAAGCTGTTTTTCATGGTTTGGACTCACTCAGACCCATTATTCAATTAATTGGTTTTGTTACTGATAAAACCTATCATGAACTTATACTGTGCCAACCCTTAAAGAACAATCACGAAAGGTTTAAAAAAGCTTGTTTTCCAAGAAGACAATGCACCAGTGCATACAGCAAAAATCGCACAAGATATCCTTCATTCAATTATTGAATCTGGACTTTGAAAACGTAAACCCGGACCATTTAACATCCAAGATTTGGAAAAAATGGTTATTGAAGTATGGGAGTTGATTCCCAAAGAGATATATCAAACCTTATTAATTCAATGCCTTTTCGAATTTATGCAATTATTTCTGCTAAAGTAACAAATAAATATAAATAAACTTTTAAAATAAAGAATTATTAAATATTTACTTCACCTCCCTGTATATTAATACTTTATTATAATTTATAAAATTACTTATAAATAAAAAGATTTATATATTATTAACTGGCGCCGAAAATATTTATAGTTATCACATATATATTTTTTATAGTTGAATTAATATTTCTATTTATACCAGATTCCTCCTTTAAATCTAATTAAATAGAAATTATTTATCATTGCCTATATTTGAAATCAACATCCTAACTTTCACGCGTAAAATTAAACACCGGAAAGTTTTAGCCGATCTATCACAAGAAAATCCAAAGGGGCACAATTCTATTAAAACATTAATAAAAAATCAAAATTAGTTCAGTTTATCGGGTTGTGCCGAAAAGGAGCCAAATTCCGGTTTTTTTACTTTTAATGATTTAAAGTTATTTGTTTAATTTTCAACTTCGAAATACTCGAAGTACAACAGTTCATCGTTGTGCAATAGATTATCCATAAAGTTTATCGGATCGACGGATTTTTTTTTTAAGCCACGAAATTGATTGGTTGATTGATTCATTTTATTTAAAAAGAGTTATCTTCGTCTTCAATGAACCGAGAAAATTTTATTCGAGGAATTTCAATATTATTTAAAACTGAATGGACAGCATTAAAGTTGGCTGTGGATATGCAATGGGGTGGACACGATTCGGAAGATAAAAGAGATTGGTTAATCAATGTTATCGCGGAATATTTTGATAAAAGTAAATTTTTCTGATTTTTTTAATATATACGTTCCCCCTTTTTTATTTGATTTTAATGAAAATTTCAAATTTTTTTTGGAAATTTAGACGGTAAGGGTACCGATGTTGATGATTTAGAAACTATTCTGAATCAGATCATGTCAGATGAATTTAACACTTTATTAGAAGATGATTCAGCATATCAAGTACTATATATATATATATTTCCTCTTATTACTTCAAAACTTCAAAAGACTAATCTTTATTTACGTTAGATATCTCAAGACCTAATTAAAATGTATAATGAATGTAGTCAAGGAAATTACATAACAGTAGATTTATTAGAATCTAAACAAAAATCTACCAAACACAATTTTCCATCTTCAAAGAAAGCAAAAAACAAGGATGATGATGAGGATGATGAGGATGATAGCAGTAATGATGATGAAGAAAGTTTACAAAATGGAGAAAGCTCGACGATGGAAGAGGATGAGAAGATGGATATAAATAATTCAACAACTCCATCAAAATTATCAAATAGACCCATTATTGATGATGATGGGTTTACTTTAGTAACAAGAAGAAAATGATAATTAAGAAAGGATTTTGCTTTTTTTTTTTTATTAATTTAACAATTATTAAACTATCAAATTAGTTATCTTTTTCCATATTTAGTTTTAATAAATTCCCTACATTCTTCTTCACTTTTACTTGAGAATTCTAATTGCCATTCCATGACTGAATTCAATATTATTTTAACCTCCGGACTTTGTTTAATTTTCAATAAATTCTGAATATCTTTACCCTGTTATTCATTTATTTATTTTTTTTTTAAAAAAAAAAAAATTAATAAGAACTTTTGTTAATTATAAATACAAACAAAACCGATACTTACGTTTAGGATAGGTTTTTCATTAAAAACGTTTTCCAATTTTAATTCTTGTACTCTTTCAATTAACTTTGTATATTTGTCACTAATTTCTTTAACTTGGTCCATATTGTCAAATTTCGATATCAACTCATTGGACAAAGCAAAGATTAAATTAGTTAACCATCCAGATCCAAGTTCACGTATCAATAATCCTATAGTTTAATTTAATAAATAACCTTTAAGAATTATTATTATTATTTTTTTTTACGATACTTTCTAAATACAATGAATATATAAATTACCGAGTGCAACTCTATTTGCTGGGGCTTCATAATTCTGTGCAACTGCGTTCTTCACAGAATAGACATTTGAGAAAAGGCTTGTTACTTTATCAACATCCTCATTCGAAAACTATATCAGAATTCCGATTAGACTTACACTTATTCATAAAATAAATAAAACAAAAAAAAATTGAATTCACACCCTTAACCCTTCGCGGATTACAAAACGGCAAGCCGGATGCCTCTTTTTCTTTTCTGTATATATCATATCTTTATAAGGTAATGTACAGGCTGCCAAATATAGTTTTCGCTTTTCATCTTCATTTAATTGACGAAACTTAGGATGGAACTCATAACTTTTACTTTCATCAGAAAACAACCTAAGAAAATCACAAGAACAATGAGTTAATTTATTATTCAGTATTAGGTTTGGATGATATAATACATACCATTTAAGAATTTTTGCTGTATTTAAACAAATTTTTGAATCTTCAAATTTTCCGGATACGATGGTTTCTTGTGGAGGTGATGAGAACACTATATCATAAAGTCCTAAATTAAGAATCAAATCAAAGGCGCCAATGGGATCATGTCCTAAAATATATGCCATTAAATTAAGATTTTAAATCAAACACACAAGAATATACCATAAATAATAAAATGAACTTAAACCTTTGATCATTTTATCAACCTCTAATCCAATTCTTTCCCGACTTATTTTCTCATTTAGTGCTGTCTATTGGATTATTAAATTGTTAATATGCGATCACGTACAAATAATTTGCTGCCACTGATTACGTTTATACGTTCTTACTTTGATACTATCATTTTTTATAATGGCATCTTTCACATCTTCAACAATCTCAAATTGAAATCTGCTTGCGAATCTTATACATCTCAATACTCGAAGTGGATCATCTTTAAATGTTTCATAAGCGGGAAGTGGCGTGCGAATTAATCCTTCTTTCAAATCTGACTTGCCCTTTCCAAAAAAAAAAAAAAAAAAAAAAAATTCTTAGGTTTCGCGTTAAATTTTAAAAAAAAATATAAAAATATAAATCTACCTTATTTGTGAAATCTTCCACCTCATATGTGTGTATATTATAAAATAACGCGTTTATTGTTATATCTCTACGATAAGCATCTTCTTCGGGTGTACCAAAGTCCTTTTTAGAAAGATGAATATTGGTTTAACTTCCATGTGGGATAAGAAACAATGCAAGGATGTTTAGTCAACACTTACAATAGAAACGGGAATTCTACTAGCCGCATCATAGACTTCTTTTCTCAAATTAACAAAATCTATATCCAAACCAAAAAGGTTTGTAGTAGCAGTGTCTAAATGTTTAGATTTTTCAGGGTTTGATTCTATTAAATGAATTTTTACTGGAATAGATTTATGTTCTTTATCAACAAATTCTTTAACATAATTTGCAAAATTTAATCCTGTCAAATGATTTATCGCAACATCTAAATCATTACATTCGAATCCAAGTAACTAATGTCATTTTGATTTCAAAAACAAATAAATAAATAATATAAATTAAATTAAATAAAACTAAAAAAAAAAAATAATTTCATTACTTTATCTCGAACCCAACCACCAGCTATTCTCAGTTCAATAGAGGGTAACTCGGGTTTAGTTTCCTTCAAATAGGCAGTAACTTGTTTCAATAAGTCGCATATATTTAACTCTTGTTCTGTGAGAGTGATCGTCATTTCTTTGCCATGCTGTTTTTGCTGTCCTAATGAAAACTGTTGCGAACTTTTGCTACTACCGCCTATACTAGTAGGAGTTACACCTCTATTAACCGAATAAGGCTTATGCCTTTCCTGTAAGGATTCTTTTAGACTACTTGGTTCAGACGGCAGTTTTGAAATATAAAAAAAGGAAGAAAATTTGGGTTTACGATGAAATTGAAAAAGAAAGTTGGAAAATCTTAATCTTTTCATGATGGTCACACGTGGCTGAAAATAAGCATTTTTTATTATTTTTACACGAAATATCTAATCTATAAATTATTTTTTGAATTATTATAACATTTCCAATGGTAAGGTAAATAATTTTTTTCATTTTCAATTATTTGTAATAATCTAATGATAGGAGGTAAATATTTATATTTAAATGAATCATAATTTAATAATTTGTTACAAATATTACAAGGTTTAGAAGTCAAATCATGATAACTTGATATCCAGTCCTTTAAGATGAAAAGAAATATAAAGAATAGGTCACTAAAGAGAAGATATTAATTGATGGAATAGGAATTGAGAAAACGGGTGAAACTTACCAGTAGATCTGGTATCGGATCAGTATGATCTAATTCATTTAATTTGGCGGTTGCTAGTTGTGTTATTCGTTGAAACTCCAAAGAATCTGATGACTCTAGAATTGTTTTCTATTATAACAATTTTATAAAACAGAAATAAAAAAAGGTTAATAATGAATCTATCATAAGAATTTTTGTGAAATAATAACTTGCTTTTTCATGATATCCAAAAAATACTATTCTCGAAATTGTTAAAGAAGACCCGTCAATATCATTGTATTTTAATGATATGTAAACCTTAAAGAAATTATTTACTGATACCTTTAAAAAAAATGTATATAGATGTATTAATTTAAAAAACTCTACGTTCACAAAAATCACATTACTAAATTGAAAAGTGGAATACATACTGAAAAGGCTGAAACTCGATTTAATGTATCAAAATCGGTTTTATCAATTTCTATTTTGTAAGGTCCTTTTTTTGCTTTAGCAAGCCAATTATCAATTGTAATATCAATTTGTCTAAAATAGTTTTTTTTTTAAAAAAAAAAAATTTTAGAGAAAAAATAATAAGCTCGAAAAAATGAATTTGAAAAGACAAGTACCTTGCATCATATGCTTTTGTTCGTTTGGGAAAAGTTAATTCTGAAATGATGATCTGCTTATCATCCTTTTGTTTTTTAAAATAAGTTTCATAATCTTTAAAAAATGTACTTTCAAGGTAAGAAGCAATTAATAAAATATGAATTTAAAGAATTTAAACGTTCTAAGAGATATAATTACTTTGTAACTTGTTGACTTGTTTTTTGCATTTTTTCTTTGAGATCTATAATGATTTTTTCATCATCGTTAAGATCATATTTAACGTACCTATTAAATAGGTAAGAAATAAAAAAATATATATTAATAACGAAGGAAATAAGATAAATTAAAAGTGATGAACTTACGGTTTATTTCGATTACTCTGATTAGAATTCCAAGCCTCTTCAACTTGATAAGCATATTCCAAATCAACTATATAAAGCATATTCAGTTTAATATTCTTAAAATATAATAATGATAAGTGATGTTTAATGACAAACCTAAAGAAGATTCGAGTAGTTGGGAAAACTCTTCCATTTTATTCATTATCTTGTCATTCATTTTTTCAATGAAGTCTGGGTCATATGTTGGTAGATTAAGGTTCATTCTACTTACTTGTACTTTAAATTTTTGATTGGTTAATAATCAACGCAAAAATAATAAATCAAATGAATCAAATGAAGTTCTTACAATTTTTATAATTATAAATAATTTCATAAACAATATTTCATATGGAATACAAAAGGAAAGATAAATTAGTTTTACAACTCTTTTCACAAAGAACATATTTGATTTTCATTTACCTCCTTGTTCATGTGGTTTCCAAGTTTCGCTTAAATGATCACAAATAGTGTTAAAAATAGCACTTATCTCATTCACCTACAATGACAAAAAAGAAAGAAAAGAAAAGTGCTCATTATAATCATATTAATAGTAAAGGCATTTCCTTCCTTGAATTATAAACATTACAAACCATTCTTATCATGTTATCCATTTTTTTTATACTAGTTTTCGTATCCATACTCTTCTTAAATTCTTTTCTCTCTTCTTTGGCACTCATTTTGTTGATAAGAAATTGCGTGGATGGATCGTCAGCATGATGATTGGACACCTAAATCTCTAAATCTCGGATTTATTAATTATTTTTTTTTTTTTAATTATTTTTTTTCCTGGTTGTACTCAGATATGATTTTACAACAATGTCGCTTTGGATTTTCGTCGATATTCTCTCCAATAGTTCAAAATGGATTTAGAAATTGCGTTAAAGTTCACATCAATGATAATATAATTGTATCACGTTTGTCTTTTCAACTACAGTTTAGTTCACTTCGAACTAAATCTCTTCGTTCTAAAGCAACGCACACTTTACCAGTAACGAAGGGAATAGCAGCATCCCGTTTTCGATTTTTCAGATATACTCAAAATAATAAATTTCTAACGATTAACCATAATACATTTTTTCAATCACTTCTTAGACAGAAACAACGACTTATACATATACCATCATATCCACCAATAAAACGTCAACAAACAGCATTTCAAATAGCATTTAAGCATGCAGGACGAGAATTTGTTCGTTTTTTAACATTTTTATTTATAAGTTTACTATCCATCGTGATAATTGGATTATTATCATGGAGAGGATATCATTTTTATATTGAACATTTTCTATATCCAACACCTACAAAATTGTCACGTCCAGCGAGAGATTGTCTAAGAGGAGCTTTTATACGCACAAAAATATCGCCTGATTCACATACAGCAGAAATTTATTTAAGACAAGCATTACAAATTATACTTGAACGAGATAAATTAGATCTAAACGATCAAATTATTATTGATATTCTAAAATCCTTGGGGGATAATTATGTGTGGAGGGGAAATTTGGAAGATGCAATCTTGCAATACAGACAAATATTGGAATTATTATTACAACAACATCCATCGAGGGAAGGAAAAGAAGATTTGAGCGAAGTGATTGATATTGCAAAGAAATTGGGAGATTTATATATTAGAATTCAAGATTATATTACCGCAGAAAAATATCTCGTATGGGCAATTGGGTTATTACAAGGAAATGTTATTGAATTATTAAATGAAGATGATGAAGTATTAGAAAATACCTCAATATTTGCGAGTACTTCATTAATTAACAAAGATTTCATATCGATCACAGATTTACTTGCAGGATTATATGCAAAACAAAGAAAATATGATTACGCTTTGCCACTTTATTTAAGTTTATTAAAAATGATACAAGAGAAAGAAAGTTTGAAATTGAAATGTTGGGAAGCTATAATTAATGGTCACATAGGAGAAATTTTTTTTGCTATGGGAAAATATGATGAAGCTTTGGGTTGGCTACAAAAAGGTTTATCTATAGCTAAAAACGGTGATGGGAACAGAGATTGTGATGAATGCGCAGGTGTTATTCTTAATAATCTTGGGTTAATACATGAAAGAAGAGAAAATAATGAATTAGCCGTTTCTTTGTATATTAATGCTATAGAATTTGCTGAAAAAGCACAAGATTTTATTGGTATTGAAGATTTTACCAAAAACTTGAATCGTGTGCGAACACGAGAAGAAAATTCTGAGCAAGTTTCCAATGAAACAATATAAATAAACCATGTAACAAACGTCCTACTATAAATAAAAACATGTGCATTTCCATTAATAGAATGGGAAAAAATATATTAAGGGTTTTAATCTCAGAACATTTTGGATCATATGTTTACTCTGGTTTAAATTATTAGTAATTACCAAATCCGTACATTACGTTTCATAAATTCCAGATATGATGTCAATATACCATGCAAGGTAGCGATCGTTTATAATGGCCCCCCCTTGGCTTTATCAATTAATATCCATAAATATAGCGTCATTGGTAGAAATTTTGATTTATTAAATATCAGTGCAATTAAAGTTCATTCGAATTTTTTTTTTTTTTTTTTTTCTTTTTCCTTTTTCTTTTAAAAGAAAAAAAACCAATAAAAAGAATTAACGAATATAATGAGGGATTAGCTTCTTTTTAATTTGTATTAAATAAACGAAAAAAAAAAAACATTACTATCATGAACAATTCTAATCAATTACAAGAATTATTTGGACGAAAAAGTTCCTCGAACAATAATGTTATTAAATCAAAGTCTCCATTATCAGTTAATACAGCTGTTTCAAAGGAGTCACAACAAAACTATATTAACGACATTATTAACAATAATGTCGCTTCTCCTTCTTCTGCTTCACCCTTTGTTCGACGAACAATATTATCCAACGCGCGTCAATCTTGGATATTTAATAAGCCTCCCTCAATTCCAGAGGCTGAAAGTGTTTATGTTCAACCAACTGCTATACTTGAAAAGAATTTGGGAACTGCAAAATCGAGATTATCAGTTATTATTCAAGGTGGTAGTAATCAACAACAATATGGAAGAGTAATGACTAATAGTATATATATTAAAACTGAAAAAGACAAAGAAGTGGTTAGTTCTTCTCCTGAAATATATAAAACTTCAGGGATCGAAAATTCAATTGATGATTTACCATTGCCGCCTCAATTACCAACCACACCATTATCAAGTAGACCTATATCTAATGTTTCTTCTTCATCTACAAATCAATATTATAGCGAATATGATGCATTATCAGATTCATATCATTCTTTATCATCTTCATTTGCTTCCAATTCTATAATTACGAACAGTCGTGATAGTATGTCTGATACAATCTCAATGTTCAGCAATTCACCTTCAATCTTAAATGATCATCATCATAAACTTAATAAACAACTTTATAATAATGCTCCTCAATCTTCTACTGGTATACCTTATCAACGATATTCTATGCCTTCTTCCTCAAGCGAATTTACTTCACCAAATAGTTCTAATCAGTATATTATTGATTCTCAAAGACGCGCTTCAATGCCAATTCTATCTAACGATACTGGTTCATCTGATATAATTACATCTCCCGTAATTTTGGTTGATGACGACGACGACGACGATGATGATGATGATGATGATGATGATGATGATGAACTAAAAGAATTGGAAAGTACTACTAATATTCGCGCTTCCTTTTATTCTAATACGTCAAATGAAAGTTCGTCTGTTCAGCGCGCTACTTTACGTCCCAGTAGATTATCATCACCTGCTAATGCCCAACTTGCTCAAAGAGCCTCAAGAGCATCCATGAGAATGAGCCTTAATACTTTAATGCAAAAACGTTTTAATATCGCTTTGGAAATATTGACTACCGAGCGTCATTATGTTGATTGTTTACAGCTTGTCCAAAGGGTATGAAAATATTTTAATCTTTATACAATTTAGATGTAATTTCATTAATCAAAAACAATTATTTTTATTAATTCAATACAGTTGTTCCTAAGCCCTTTGAACGAATCACTGAAATCGGCCAACCCGATACTGACCAAAAAGTCAATCAATGAAATATTTGCAAATCTCTCTGATCTAATTAATATTAACATAGAATTATTAAAAAGATTGGAAGAGAGAATTGCTATACTCATTGATGATAAACCAATTGAAGATTCTGAGGATAAATTTTGGAATCCTGAAGATGGTTGCCTAGGAGACATTTTCTTGAATATGGTAAAGCTTATATATATATATATATTCATTATTTATTCATTATGTATTATATATTTAATTTCCTGTAATATTAATTCAATAATTTAAAATCAAAAAATAGGCACCTTTCTTTAAGATGTATTCGATTTATGTTAAAAATTTCAATTCGGCTCTTTCCGTAATTGACGTTCAATTAAGAGATAATCCAGCATTTTCCTCTTTTCTAAGGGTATGCATCGGTCAATTAAGTTCTTTCAGTTTTTGCACAATTTTTTAAATTTTATTTATTCATTACTATAGGATATTATCAAGACAGGACAGTGTAAAGGTCTTACCTTACAAGCGTATTTGATAATGCCAGTACAACGGATACCTAGATACAAATTATTGTTAGAGGATCTGTTAAAGAAAACAGTGGAAACTCATCCAGATTATCTTAACTTAAAGAAAGCTTATCAAGTTATTGAAAATGTTGCCACTTTTGTCAATGAAACTATTCGACAACATGAAATGTTTATTACTATGTTAGATATTCAAAAATCATTGACAGGATTTGATGAAGTATTATTGGTTCCTGGTCGTACTTTTATTAAGAGAGGAACCGTCAAAAAGGTAGCGAAACATACGTTAGATGTATTATTTATATTATTTATATTATATATGTATGATGTTAATATTGAAATTCTTTTCGTAGATATGTCGTCGAAATCATCAGCAACGCGAATTTTTCTTATTTTCAGATATTTTGATCTACGCAACTCCTAGTTTAATGGATGATACTTATACGTTTCATCGAAAGTTCGATCTCGAGGATGTAACAGTTTTAGTTGTTGATACTCAAAGTAAATAAATTATCAACCTAACTTTATATTTATCTACTTAAATTATATTTAATTTACTGATTTTGTTTTTTATTTATCATTAACAAGATGTTAATGGATTTCTGATAATGAGCCCTCAAAAAAGCTTCACACTTTATGCAGGTTAGATATCTTTATTCGGCATGTTATCTAATATAATCTGTTATTTAACTGATTGAATTATGTATGTGTTTTTAGATACTCAGAAAGATAAAGAATCGTGGATCAACGCGATTCGTGATGCTAAAGAAGAATATTTAAGCGCTAAAAGAACACTCAAAATTGGTATGTAATTTGATAACCATTACTTTAATCTATGTATTATTATTAATTCTTTTTATTATCATTAAGATAATAATGTGGGATTGGAAAGAAAGGATACGTACAAAAAAAGAATTGTGGAGAATTATCATGCGCCTGTATGGATTCCAGATTCAGAAGCTGATCGTTGTATGAATTGCTCGGAAGAATTTTATACGATATTTCGAAGAAAACATCACTGTCGAGTGTGTGGAAAAGTTGTTTGCCATGCTTGTTCTACAAGGGTATATTTCTTATTCTACATAGTTCTATAATTTTTAGAAATTTATCTAATCTTGCTAAATTTTTATATAGAAATTTGTTATTCCTGGTTCAAGTGAACGAGAAGATCAGTCGGCACGTGCATGTGACCCTTGTTTTTTTACAATGTTTCCTGATGCTTTAAGAGATGAGGATATAGCACCCGGTATTCATGTATGGAACCTTGTCAATAATAAGAGCACAATTTCACTTGTTGAATCTCCACAAAAAGATGAAGATATTAAGGATAAAGATAATATGTTTAATATATTAGAAAACAATCGAGCAAGCGTAGCATTATTTTCGGTGAGTTACTACCATATCAGAATTTATTTATTAGATTAATTTTATACAAATAATTTATCCTTTTATCAGATCAACAAATCTCTACGTGATGCTATCGAAGCTAAACGCTGTGACTATTGCAGAGTTGATTTCACTGTATTCAGATGGAGAGTAAGTTATAAGAATACATATATCCTAATCTATATTTTTGAAATAATTCAAACGATTATAATTTAAATTATTGACATTTAATGTTTTAAATACTTTCGATTAGAATGAATGTTTGAAATGCAAGAAAATCGGTAAGTTATACTTGAATGATATATAATACATGTCTGGTTTTTTTATTTCTTGAACTTGTCAGCTCACTTTCTTTATCCTGGTATCCATTCTAGTTTGTAACGAGTGTCTCACAAAGAAATCAATTGATTTTTCATCACTACCTCAAAAATTTTTGGATGAATTATCATCACAGACAATCGAGAATAGACGATTTAGTATTATGACAAATGTTATAAAAATATGTGATTTTTGTTATCTAGGTAAACTTAAAATTCAAATGTTTGAAACCTTTGTATTCATACGCTAATTTTTATTGTATTTATTTGGTAGGTATTGATCCTAATCGTATTACAGTAGATGAAGAAACAGATGGTGGATGGACTGCAAAAGGACAGATATCTCCACCATCCACACCAAAACCATTTAAGTCAGAAACAAGTTATAACGTCAAAGCGAATGATGATGAAATAATTAAGCAATCAAGTTTTGATGACAAAACGATGAAAGTTAATAAAGTTGAGGGTTATTTTAATCAAGTCGTGATAGAAAAAGAACAATGAACATAAATTATTATATAAATTATAGTTTTTAAGTTAAAACAATTATATATGTAAATTTTTTATATAATCTATTTGTAATTTTTATATTTTTAGCTTAGTAATTTGTACAAATATTCTTTTTATTTACTATAAAAACACTTTTTTTTTTTTTTTTCCCTTTAATTTTCAATTTGTATATATATATATATATGATGTATTAATTATTGTAATATTGTATTAGTAATAAAAAAAAAAAATTATATATATGTATATATATTTATATTAATAATACATTTAATATGTCGATAGGTGCGTGATACAATCAACCATTTGATGGGACGATAGATTATTTTTTCAAGAAAAAATTTTTTGTAATGCTTCGTTATGTTTAAAATTTTCCGTAGATCGACATCAAATGCAAGTAACTAACTTTATATAGAAATGATCTTCATAAACATCAGCTACTTATACGTATTACGTATCAAAAGTTTCGAGCTTCTTTTCTTCCCATGACAAACAACTCATATTGACAAGACTAAAAAAAAAAAAAATACTGTTTTAGTGACGAACTTTATTAATGTTTAAATATTTTATTATGTTATTTAGAAACACCAGCAAGGAAGTGGTATATATTTTGTTTTTTTGTTATTTTATTAATAATATATATGTATATTTTTTGTTTTTATCAAATAACAGACGGACGGCTGAAGAAGGAGATAAAATAACAGGTAATGGGAAAGAGAGTGAGCTGGGGCATAGCTGGGAGTGGGTTTAATTACTAGCTGATAACAAGCTGACTGGCAGTGCGCCAAGTTTCGCTACCAAGCTGAAGGTATGGAGGCCGGACAGTAACCTTGGTGAGGGGATCTGCTTCTTCTTAATATTGAATTAGCTATGCTTCCCTTACGGACCAATCGTATAGGTACTCGAGACCAATAAATTAGTCACAAGGCCTGTCATCCTCTTGCACGATCTTCTAATATTTCAATAATCTTGATTTATAAGAATCGCATTTAAAGTTTCAAACCTTTATATTGCGTCTAACCAGAAGAAAATTTTTTTCTTTTGATTTGGATTTGGCCTTCAAATAGTTTGGAGTTTATCTTTGCCTTCGCTATGTGTGTGATCTGATTTTGAAATTTTCAAAATCTATCATCCAGGTGTGATAGATTCTATCAATTCTCTGCTGCACTACTCTTTCGGATCAATAATCGTTCTGGCTTCTCGATTCACCAAGTCACTACCGTCGTAAGTTGATTTTATTTATTGCTTTCTGATCTTTGGTCTTGTCGTATGAGTTGTACAATTGTCCTCGAATAATTACGGTAGTAGCAATTATTATTAATGTAATAGATAAAATATATGTGTATTAAATAGTGTTTCCATGATTTTTTTTTTTAAATTATTATAATGTAAATAAAGTTTCTATTAAAATCCGCGATAACGCTGCGCCAATAAATATAAAATGACAGAGTAGTTTTAAAAAATGCCATGCTAGTGTTAAATTAAAACTTTTTTTATATGTTCACTAACTAACGATCTGCATTAATTACGTGAATAATATCCCTAGCAACCTCACTCATGATAAATAGTAGAGGTGGTTCGTTATCTGTTTTAATATCTACGATATCATCACTTACAAAATGGGAAGAATTGAAACTTTTGACAAATTTTCAAATTATTTTGGATCTTTTTTTTTTTTTTTGTTATATAAATAAAATGCTTTATTTATAACTACGCGATATGCATTTCCCTGAAATCTTTTGTTGGATAAGTTTTCAAATTATGTTAGCATTTTTATATCATCTCAACAAAAAACTATAATTCCGAAGTAACATATAGGGAAACTCGCAATTGAATTCGATCTTAATTTTTTTTCTAAAAAAAATCACCCGTTTTTACTCAACATCTTTGATTGGTGATAATTGGTGTAACATATAGGAATGATGTATATAACAAAATTTTTTTTTTGGATCATTTTTTTCACAACAAAAAAAGCGAAATATGGTAAAGTTTTGACAATATTTTTTTAGATTTGGAGTTGTAATTGAATCTTTTGTTGAAAGTTTTAATATGGATGGCTTAATGAAAAGGAAAAAAAAAAAAAAAAATTGAAATCGATAGAATCAAGAACAATAACAAAATTCTGGACAAAAATGAACTTTTCTCAGAAAAATTTATTAATTCAATTATATAATAAGATTATAAAATTTCAAATCCATTATCTTTTTTCATCTTTTAGGCTGACGAATACGATGCTACAGCTGCCGCCGAATTGAAAAAGAAGAGAACTTTTAGAAAGTACTCTTATAGAGGAGTTGATCTTGATCAATTATTA